GCTGCCATGGCAACGGCGGGTACCGCGCTCTCCCTCATCCCAGCGTTGCCTGGTTACCAGCCCCCCGTGCTGGGGAGGATGCCCCGCGGGCCCCACCCGAGACCACCGCGGGGAGACCCCGAGCACGGCCGGGGCTCCGCAGGCTGGCAGGGCTGTGCGGAGCGGGGGGATCCCGGGAGCGGGGGCATCCCGGGGAGCCGGGGGATCCCTCTCTCGCAGCCCTTGGCAGCGCTCTGGCTCCTGCTGTTCAATATTGTAGTAACACCGTGCGTAAACAGCCGAGCGCCTCATCCCGGGAAGGCGTACGGAGGAAGGGAAGAGCGTGTCTCTCGGGGTGTGTAATTAATGCTTCCAAAGAAACGGATTTTGGAGTCCATGTGGTGGAACTTGGATCTCGCAGGGATATTTCTGTGGGAGGGAAAGTGACAGGTGGTTTGTGTGGATGTGAATAAGCAGCGTGAAGGAGCAGCCTCTCGGGGAAAGCCGTGTGTGGATTAGAATGGAGCACCCATTTTGGCAAGCCCGCAGCGCTCCAAGATGCTGCTGGGTCCCGTTGGGATTTTCAGTCCCGCTGGGTGGTTTTGCTCCCAGTTTGAAACAAAGACAAACCCGGAGAATCTCTGCTCATGCACAACTGGACCATGGTTGCAAGGCGGAGTGGAGAGCTGCCAGCATGAAGTGCCATGGCTGCCAAGCCAGGCCACCTGTTAGAGCGTGTTTGGGACCTGCTGGAGGATATCCTGTGCCCGCAGGTGTGGATCAGCCTCCTGGCTCACGCTCACCTGGAAATTTTATCTGCTTTGTCTCAACGTACCCATTCAGGTAAAGCATGGTGGGGGAGCCACGGCTTTGCCAGGTATGGAGGGCACTCCCTGGCACAGCAAACCAGCAGCTCTGTGGCCAGCTGTTCCCCTGTGTTTGCCTTTCAGGCTGTTTGTGTGTTTGTAAAGAGGCTGCTGAGCTCTGCAGCTGTTGTGTCCCTGAGCATGGAGAAGGCACGGCTGGCACTGGCAGCATGGAGGTGTCCTGTCCTGTCCTGTCCTGTCCTGTCCACTCTGTGCCTGGGGCAGTGTTAGTGGAGACAAAAGCCGTGTTGCTGGGCACTGCTGTCTGCCTCATGGTCGTGGCTGATGGTGACAGCAGAGGAGAGAAGGGAGAAAATGTCTGCTCTGATGTGCTGCGGAGCGTGCAGTGCTGTGGTACCCACCACACTCAGGAGCCTCAAACAGCTTCCTCCATGCTGCTCTGGCAGGGTGTTCTGATGATCTGGGGTACTCTCACCACCAGGATCCTTCAGGGAACCTCTCCTTTCTCTCACCTGTGGGATTCTGGTGGCTGATGCCCCTGCAGAGCCTGGCCTCATTCAGCCAGTGTGTGGCCGAACGAGGGTGTGGAGGGAGGATGGGACGGTCCAGGCAGCTGCACAGTGAGGTTTACAGCCCCTGGTTATCTGTTAATCAAATAAGGAGGGATCAGGAGCAGCAGACTCCTGTGGGAGGTGGTGGTGATGATTACTGCCCACTGGAACCCAGGCTGGGTTCCCTGGCCAGGCAGCCTTCAGCCCAGCAGGGTTTGCACTGGAGGTTTGCTCCAGTGATGGATTGGCCTCGCTGCCTCTTTGGGGTGCCATCAGGGGGCTGGGGACTGTGCTGAGCCACACATGGCTGGGCAGTCTTGGCTGAGGCTCCTCGTGCGGTTCAGGGTCAGTTCCATCAGGCTGGAAGAAGCCCTGCAGCAGGCAAGTGGAATTCTGGGGTACAGGTGAGAGATGGTGTGCTCAGAGACACCCCAAACCAGCAAAAGAGACAATGAGGCTGTAGTAAAGCCAGGTTTGTGTCTCCCATCCAGTCAGCCTCTGAATCAGCACCGGATTTGGGAAGGGCCATCCATACCAGCATGGCGAGGGCTGGAAATCTCCTCTCCTCTCTCATTTAGAAGCACGAGGCACAACAACAGGCACATTAATAGCCAGATTGATGCTGACGTGAAATGGCAGAAGAGCCCATCTATGCAGAGCTGGAAATGTCCATTCACACATGCACGCTCCTAAACGCCCAGGGCAACGGAGCGCTGCTGTCACGGTCTGGGGGGCTTTGCACAGAAAGCAGAGATTTTAACTAGGTCTGATCTTCGGGAGATGCCCTGAGGACTCCTGACGGAAGGCGGAGGCTGCCTGGAATTGCTCCGTGATGGCTGAGACTTGACAGGGCAGATCTATGCAAAACAATGAAAAGGAAAAGGGGACTTGGGAGATCCAACAGCAAAACGAATTCACCTGCCTTGCTCTGGCAGGATTTGCTGTGCTGCAGAGAGCTGAGCCAGGCAGGAGAGACTGGGTCTGTCTGCCCGGCTTTGCCCCCTCCTCTCCCTCGCCCGGGCTCTGTGCACGCACACACAGCAAGCCAGTGGCGTGGAAATGGGCGAGGAGGGATTATCCAGGAGGAAGAGGCTGAGGAGGAGCTGTGGCTGTGCTCTGCATGGAGGGAGTGTTGGCTGTGCTCGTGGCAGGGCGGTGCCGGGGCTGTGAATCATCCGGCCGGCTCGCGTGGGTGCGGGTGGCTTCCAGCTCCTGTGCCAGCGTGGCCCTGCCACTGTCACCCTGCCGCTGTCACCCTGCCGCTGTCACCCTGCCACTGACACCCTGCCACTGTCACCCTGCCAATGTCACCCTGCCACTGTCACCCTGCCGCTGTCACCCTGCCGCTGTCACCCTGCCGCTGTCACCCTGCCGCTGTCACCCTGCTGCTGTCACCCTGCCACTGTCACCCTGCCGCTGTCACCCTGCCACTGACACCCTGCCACTGTCACCCTGCCGCTGTCACCCTGCCAATGTCACCCTACCAATGTCACCCTGCCGCTGTCACCCTGCCGCTGTCACCCTGCTGCTGTCACCCTGCTGCTGTCACCCTGCCTTGCTGCTGGCTGCGCTGGGCAGGGTGAACCCCCTCACCATGGGGCAGGTGCAGCCCTGGATGGCTCTGGTAGCTCTGGGTTAATCCCCCAACCCACTCCCATCCACATCCTCCCAGAAAACAGCAAACTCCATCTACTTCCTCACTCTGTGTCGCTGCTTCCTCCCCCTGAGCCTCTCACAAATTCCTGCTGCCTCCTCCTACCCCTGGCTCTTCTCTGGAGGTAGGGATGTTGGGAGGATACCTGGGTTCCATCACAAGGCAGCAGGTTGAGCTGGGATGAGAGGGAAGGGGAGTTCTGGACGCTGCTGCTCGGCTCCTGTGCCGCTCCGCCTCTCTCCGTGCTTTGCCGGATCTCGCAGTTTTAACAGGAAACCCCCGTGTTTTGGTACAAGTCACAGGCACTGCCACTGCCTGTGGTGTCCAGGGTGGTGACCCCAAACTTTGTGTCACCAGTGGGGAGAAAACAGGCAGAGATTTGGGCTGTGGGACGTGGCAGCTGCTGGATTTCCTCTCCTCTCCTGTGCCAAGGCACAGCTGGGTTCAGCACGGGGAGAACGGCAAACCCTCGCCAGTGCTCGCTCTTCTCACTTTATTTCAGCTTCAGGAAGAAGTGGGTGGGCCAGCTTGGAGCAACCCAAAAAAACCTGTGGCTCTTTGCAAGGCATATGCTTCCTTGGAGGAGAGCTGGGCTCGTTTGCACTGCAGAGCGCCGTGTTTGCCTTCGGAGCAGGGACACTGCCAATCCTGGCGGCTCACCCGTGCGGAGATAAGTTTGAGCGCGCGGAAGTGTGTGAATTCTAGGAACTGAGATAGAAAAACAAAGAACATATGTGTGCTGCATGCTTGGCTCGGCCCAGCAGTGAACTCTGCCGCGCTACGTGCGAGAAGCCAAACGCTGAGCAAAGGGTTGGAGGGTGTGTGTGTGTGGCTGGGCAGGGCCCAGCGCCACGTGGAGGGGCTCAGGGCAGGGAATGATGCAAAATTCCCTGATTGTGTTCTTCAGGGAATGATCCAGTAACAAGAAAACAGCAGCAAAGCAGCAAAAATCTGATGAATGATTTGTTTGAAAAATACGGAAGCCAATTAATGTTGATCACGGCACGAGAGCATGAGCTGGGTCACAGCCCTTGGGCACACGCTAAGCCCTCGCAGGGGTAAAATGACTGATTTTGCAGCCTCGTGGTGAAGAGATAAAGAACGCGAGAGAAAGGACGTGTGCAGCTCGAAGTGACTGTGTCACCAGCTGCGGGTTCTTTGTGTGTGCTTCTAAGGCCTGGTAATTACCCCGAAATCTGCATCTCAGCAAACGAGGGGGTTTGTCTGGGCACACTCCGGTGCTCACAATGGCCCAGCAGCTGCAGCAGAGGGGGATGAAACCCCGCAGTGTTCGGGTAAACACATCGCCTTCGGAATGGCAAACCGTGGAAGGGGAGGGAGGGGTGGGAGTTATCCTGGGCTTGTTGTGGTGAACAAGGCGGCTTCTGGGAATGGTGGTGGGCCCAGGGCTGCCTCCTCTGTGGGTGAAATGGGGGCTGGCCCCAAGGGCAGCACTGGGAGAGGCCACAGAGCCAAGCGCTGCTGGAGCCAGCAATGGTGGGCATTGCTGAGCCTGCTGCATGCCTGCACAAACTGGGAGTGTGGAGGACAAACTGGGAGCGTGGAGCACAAACTGGGAGTGTGGAGCACAAACTGGGAGTGTGGAGGACAAACTGGGAGCGTGGAGCACAAACTGGGAGCGTGGAGCACAAACTGGGAGCGTGGAGCACAAACTGGGAGAAGGGGCCGTGGCAGGGTCTGGGGAGGACCTTGGTGACCCAGGGAGCTGAGCTGCCTCCCCGAGGCTGGCAGCGGGGCTGGGCTGCGATGGACGGTGCCTCGGAATCAGGTCAGGCTCTGGAGGGGCTGAAGAGCAACACGGCGGGCTCTGCATCCGCCAGCGAGCTGAATTCCTGCTGTGTCGAGGGCCCCTTCCTTATCGGCACTAATCCAGAGCAGCAGCTGCAGCAGCTCCGTGGCACTCGGCGCTCTCGGGGCTCCCGATAACCCCGCTGGCAGCAGCGAGCCCTCTCCGCGCTCCCAACCATGTATGGCCACACACAGGGCACGGGCTGGCACCGCTGCCAGCAGCAGCAGCAGAGCCCCACACAGGGAGCGGCTCTCCCCTGTCCCCTGGTGTCCCCTGGTGTCCCCTGGGAGCTGGAGAAGGGATGCTGGTGGCAGGTTGTGGGTAGCAATGCCCTCCCTTGGCAGAGCAGCGCTGCCAGCTCGGTGCCAGCAGCGAAGGTGCCCATCCCAAATGCAGCTGGGACATTCCCCCTGCCCCAGCTGGCAGGGAGTGTCACAGCCCGGCCACAGCGTCCTCACACCCGGGAGAAAGGTCTGAGGTGTTCCCAGGGAAGGGACAGGGACAGGCTCCGCTGGGAGGGGACACTGAGATTATTTCTGGTCTCTCCTTGATGCTGCAGGGACCCCGGAGGGCAAGAGTGTCTTTGAGCTCACGTCCCACCAGGGCTGCTGGCCTCATTGCAAGAGTGTAATTGCGATGCTAATTGGGACAAATCATCATCAGGAGCCGGCCGGGGGCTGATGGCCTGGTGTCGTGCCGTGCCCTGCTGAGAGGAGCCCTGGGATGCTCAAAACCAATGAAGTTTTAAGAACAGAAGTAGAAAGAGCAAACTAAAATTGTTCTTCTTGCCTCTTCTTCCGTGGTGTCTCTTAAATCTTCTTGAGAAAGTTTTTAATTGAAACGCACCACATTAAAAAAATAATCCCAAGTGCGAATGGAGTCTGTCCCAGTTTAGGAGGCTGGAAATATTCAGCAAACGGGTTAAGTTATGCCAACTTCTCCCAAAGACAGTGGGATTTAGGCTTGAGTGTTATAGCAAACTAGGGTAACTGTAAATCCAGCCTCATTTTTTTTTTTTTTTTGTCTCTGTGGAGGTTTAGGTTGAATATTAGGGAAAGGTTCTTCCCCCAGAGGGTGCTGGCACTGCCCAGGCTCCCCAGGGAATGGGCATGAGGCTGCCAGAGCTCCAGGAGCCTTTGGACAGCGCTGCCAGGGATGCCCAGGGTTGAGGTGTTGGCCTCACTGCCTGCAGAGCAAACTCGATACTGCACTGAGGTTTATGCCAAGTGGAGATGGTCAAAAATACATCACAGAACCCCACAATACAAGTATGTCTGGTGCTGAAACCCTTCCCTTCCTGCCTTTGAACTGCTGGGCTGGGCGCAGTGATGGCACCAGGTACCCTGGGTGTTTCCTAGGAGCAGCCTGGCTCCTTCTCCCGTATCATGTGCTGGCCCTGCCTGCCCACACAGCCAGCCATGGGTCATCTGGAGCTCTCCTGTGTCCCCTGGCCTTGTCCCAGTGCCCTCCCTGAGGCATCCGGGTGCTGACACCCTCTTTTCCCCTCTCTCACAGCGGCCATGGAGGCAGTGCTCATCTTCCTGTGCTCCCTGCTGGTGCCAGCGGCCGTGGCAGACGGTAGGTGCCCGGTGCTTCCCACACCCACCTCAGGATAGCCTGGGGATCTCCTCCAGCCTCCAGACGGACCCAAGGGGGCTGCAGTGGGGCGTGGGGCAGCAGCCATGAGAGCCCAGAGCCCCAGAGTTTGTGGGGAGCTGCCAGGGCTCAGCCAGGGGCTCACTCACCCCTTGTCTGCTCATTTCCAGTGGCCACCCCGGAGAAGGAGGAGGAGGATCCCTTCAACTATGGTGAGTGAGCATGGGTGTGGGTGTGGGTGTGCTGTGGGCAGCGAAAGAGCCGCCCCCTCCCCTGGCCCCAGCAGCAATGAGCCCTGTGTCTCCCCTCCCAGATTACCAGAGCCTGAGGATCGGTGGGCTGGTGTTTGCCGTGGTCCTGTTCACCGTGGGCATTCTCCTCATCCTCAGTAAGTTGGGGATGTGGTGGGTGCTGGGCTGGCAGGCTGGAGCAGCAGGGGCTGTTCCTGTGCTGGGAGGGCACTGGGAAAGGTCTCATCCCCTTCTGGCCACGCTCACAGTTTCTCTCCCTTTGCAGGCAGGAGGTGCAGGTGCAGTTTCAAGCAGAAGCCCAGGTGAGTGAGGGTGGCCTGGTGGGGAACAGCCCCTCTGCTCTGATCCTCCTGGGCTCCCTCTGGCACTGCTGCACTCTCTGGGTGTCCCTTTGGGGTGCCCAAAACGGGGGGAGCAGCTCTGCCTGCTCCCAGTGCACCTTCCCAGCCTTCCCACCCCTGGGATGGGGCACAGCTGCCCTCACCGTGCTCCTCTCCTTGCAGGGCTCCAGGGGACGAGGAGGCTCAGGCAGAGAACCTGATCAGCTCGAACGGTAAGGTCACCCTGCTGCAGTCCCTGTGCCCCTGCCCCGTGTCACTGCCCCTCACAGTGACAGTGACAGTGCAGGGCTGGCACCACAAACCCCTCCGCTCTTCCCTTTGCAGCAACAGCGGCACAGAAAGCAGAGAACTGAGCAGGAGCCAATGCTGTGAGTCCCAGGCCAGGCTGGGGGTGGGGGCATCAGCATGGGGGGACAGCTGGGGCTGTGTGTGGGGGTGGCTGCGGGGCTCTGAGCAGACCAGAGGGACTGGCCAGCTCTGCATCCCTGGGATGGGGTGGGGGCGAGCACTGGTGGGGTCCACAGCAAGGAAACTCAGTGCTGGTGAGGTCCTGAGTGTCCACAGGCAGCCCAGCAGGAAAAGGAAGCATCTGTCTGGATTTTCCCTTGTGTTGCACTTCCTTCTTCTCTTCCTTCCCGAGGGTTTTGGTTTTAGGGTGTTCAGAAAGCTGGGTGTGAAGCCCTGGGGGTGTCCCCCTCTGAGCTCCCCAGCCTCCTGGGCTGCTTTGGAGCTCGTGCTGGCAGTTTGTGCTGCTGGGGTACATCCCCTGTGTGGGGAAAGCCTGACCCACTGCCCTGCTCCCCACGCAGAGCCAGAGACCCGAGGACAGATGCTCGGAGCGCAGATGGCCGCGGCCTGTGAGGAAACCGAAAGCCCAGCAGCAGGTCCCTCTCAGGAGACGCGGAGCTGCCGTGTCTGTGTCCCCCTCTGTGCTCCAGCACCGGTTCTCTGTTTCCTAACCCGACTAAACTCCGCTCACCGTCCTCTCTGCCTCCCGTGGTGTGTAATGTTGCTGTGAGATGATCATTACCTCTAGGGCTAGTTGTTGCTGATGTTGTAATCGTGACTTTCTCTTCACCTTTCTCGTGCTGTGCGTGTGGTTTGGGCTCTGTAGGACTGGCAGGCTGCTGCCCTTTGGGCTGCCCTCCAAGCCTGGGAACAGGGAGTGTGGGCTGTGGGGCAGGGATCCACGGCTTGGGGACCTGCAGTGCCCTGGGGACCTGCCCAGTCATTTCAGGACCACCCGTCCCCATTTCAGCAATAACCCCCGCATGACCCCAGCCTGAAAACAGCCACGGTGGGGAGCGAGTTGGGCAGGGACATCCCATGGCTCAGCCCTCCTCGCTGGGGTCACTGGGGTGCTGGATTCAAGGCTGAAGGGAGCTCTCCTGCCTTTCCTGCTTGGCAGTCCCCATTTCTGTCCCTGGTTAAACCTGTGGGACGCTGTGTGAGGCAAGGCTGTGGTGGTGGCAGAGAAGCCCGTGAGGTCCCCAGCATGGTGACACTGTGGATGAGGGCAGCAGCACAGCCGTGACCTCAGTAACCAGCACAAACCAGCTCCTGCCCGCCAGCCAGAGCTGGGTGGGGGACACAGTCTGAGGGCTAAAGAGAAACAGAGATCCTGTCCGTGCTTGTCTCCGGCAGGGAAGGGGCAGCAGCGTCTCCTCCTGGCGCTCCCTGCCCCTCCTGACGCCTTGTCGCTCCCTGTGCCACCCCTGTCACTGCTGTGTGTTGTCCCGTGGTGGTTCCGTGTCACCCCCAGTGCCAGCTGTCCCCTCTCCCCGAGGAGCAGCAGCGAGTGGCACTGAGTGATTGTCGGGGCTTTTGCACACCTGAGCTCGCAGTGAGACAATGTGCTGAGCCCAGAGGCCATCATCACCCTGTGTCCCCTCATGGGTCAGAGGCAAACCTGTGATTTTTGGCTCTTCCCCAAGTCCATGGGCAGACAAAACCTTGGCTGGGGCTAGAGACGTCCCACTTGGGTGGGGGCAGCAGTGGGGGGTCCCCAGAGCTTCACTGAAACACCTCGGGTGCCATCCCCACACCGGGAAGGGGGTCTTGTCCTCCAGGATGGTTTTGAGAGGAGTTTCTGCTGTGTCCATCCCACTGTGGTGGCCCTGCCTCAGCGTGGGCTGTGTCCCTGCATGTTTGGCATCGCTTGGTGGCACCGGGAAGCTCTGTCCCATCTCTGCCAGGCAGAGGGACCGTGAATCTGGTGTTGTGTCCCTTCCCTCGGTCCTGGCTGCTGCAGAGAGCCCCGGGCAGAGCAGACCCCCGGGCCGGCCCCTGAGTGTCACGGTGTGTGTCCCGTCGGAGTGCCCGTGCTGTCCCCAGTGTGCCGTCGGTGTTACCACAAAACAAAGAGCTCCCTGTGGTGTGTAAAATGGCCAAACCCTGACTGTTGTAAAATAAACTGAGCTATTGTGTCTCCTTTTAAATAGGCGAGTGTGCTGCTGTGCTGGAGGGCTGGTGTGCTCTGTGCTGTGACCTAAGGGGAAAGGAATAAAATATCGTTTCTATCGGTGCCTGCCTGCGTTGTCTCGAGGGCCGTGGCGTTCCCAGGGCAGCCCGGCAGCTTCCCACGCCGTCCCATTGTGGCCCGGCTGGGGCCAGGGCGGC